AATTTACGAAGTTTAGTTAAGGGCCTGTAGATTACACATTTTTTAGGTAAGAGAGCAAATGGACATACATTCCAGACATTCGTTATTAAGTTTATGGCATAAAGAACTGACCAGAGTTAATTGTGTGTGTGTGTGTGTGTGTGTGTGTGTGTGTGTGTGTGTGTGTGTGTGTTCGCGCTTGGGTGCGTGATTATAAAAGATATTTTATTCTGTAAAATAATATATTATATGCTCATTTTTGTCTCCGTTAACTTTATATTATCAGATTTGTGCAGTATTGTACGATACCAAACACCTTGATATTGTACGCACGTGTATAAAACTTGTGCAAAAAAATAGTGTAGTGTATTAGGAACTACTTTGTAAACAAATCATGTATACTCATCTTGCATGAGCTTTATGTTTTGGCTGATTAGATTTGTTTCGAATGAACTAAACAAGCTGTTTTGTCCATTGAAAGCATTAATAAAAAAAGTTACCGACGTGGAAGAGTTCGCTAAGCCAGAAACGAAACTGTTAAACAAGCGACGAATGAACGTCTTAATAGACTTCTTGAGCGAACACATTTTTGTTGTATCCTGATGGGGTCACGAGGAAGCCAAGATTAATTAAATTTATTTTCATTTTAAAAAACAAACCAGTAATATATATATATATATATATATATATATATATATATATATATATATATATATATATATATATATATATATATATATATATATATATATATCACCATTCTTTCTTGAGCACATTAGCTTCTGTAATAACCCACAAAAATATGTAATATTGTTAATATGTATCAAAGATAACTGCAGTGTAAACAAGGTCTTATCTATTCGACTGGTCGCATGATGTCCATATTATGATTTGACTGCAGTAAAAGCAATGTCTGATCTGTTCGACTGGTCACATTTTGTCAATGTTGTTATTTGACTGCAGCGAGAACAAGGTCTTATCTGTTCGACTGATCAGATTGTGTAATATTGTGATAAAACTGTAATGAAAACAAGATCTGATCTGTTCGACTGGTCACATTATGTCAGTATTATGATTTGACTTCAGTGAGATCAAGGTATTATCTGTTCGACTGATCAGATTATGTAATATTGTGATTAGACTGCAATGAAAACAAGATCTGATTTGTTCGAACGGTCACATTATGTCAGTATTATGATTTGACTTCAGCGAGAACAAGGTCTGATCTATTTGACTGGTCACATTATATCCATATTATGATTTGACTGCAGTGAGTACAAGGTCTGATCTGTTTGACTTTTCACATTGTGTACATATTATGATTTGCATTTTACGGACGAATGGCAAGCCTATCGAATGTAAACGTTTGATATATGCTAATGTTTGCAAAGATTTAAAATCCCCAAAAATGAAATAAAAATATTCAGAACATTTCACTTGGGCTATATATAATCTGACTCTAACTTGGAGTTCGTGCTTTGAAAATTTAACTCGGACTTGTATTCTTCATGAAGGAGCTTATCGATAAATCGGTGATAACATCACAAAAATGAAGTCAATTTCACGTTCATGGCATGATTTGTAAGACATATATTAATTCAGTTATTTCTAAATTCCACTTCTATGGATTTTATAATATTTTAGATATACAATACAGAAATAAAAACGAAGTGACAAATCAGTAAATGTGATGAACTCATATTGTTCAGCAAACGGATTGAACAGATTAGATCCACTGTGGAATTTACTGACAAACTGAGTAAACGTTGATGACACATAACGTGTAGGATAAAAGATCGATATTGATGCTGAGATGTAATTAATAATTTCTAAAGACAACTGGAACTTATAATTATCCGATCGATATACTTTGTTTGACTAGGAAATTTTTTAAAAGAAGAATGTATTCAGTTTAAAAAAAGATGTATTTTGGGTATAAAATTTGCCATGTTTTCAATCGTACTACACATAAATAGTAAGCAGTAATTCTAAATAAAAATATTGCATGAATTTACAAGGCATATAATCCACTTGTTCAGAGTGGTATTTTTAAAAAGCTAACTTTAACGAGGGTTTGGAAGTTAGGAGGTACATATGGCTTGCATACCATGCACCAAAATACTTCAAAGATCACTTGGTAGGATTTAAGTAATCCAGTCCATACATCCGAAATAGGCAAAGTAATTGAAAAAACAAACCCTGCCTCAACTGCAAACACTGCTGAGACCAAAATTTTCCTAAGTTTGATAACAAGATCAAGCTTAAACATCAACGATAAGTTGGGATATTGTAGTAAACTGTAAACTTCCTCCAGACGGGAGGAAATGTACAGTCCAACATATTTGCTTAACTGTGAACATTAGGGGAACAAATGAACCACAAAAGCAGCAATCGTAGTAGAGTTTGCCAACCACTACCACTCAATCGGATGGATTCAACTATTAAAACCACAACAAGGATTCAATCTACATAAGTAAATCCAACCTTACCATACAAAATCTTTGAAATATTCACTAAGAAACACATAATCACAGTAGTGTCCAAAAAGGATGTTCTGGCTGACCTTTACTTTTTACCACTGACCTTAACCTCTGATCTTGAACCTTGACCACTTGTCCTCAACAGTTTGCTAATTAACTAGGCCACTGACCTAACAATAGAAAGCTTTACTATGGAGTCAGTGGTCGGCAAATGTACATGTGAAAAACCTGCTTCACTAAACCACCTCTCCAATTTTGTGACCACGATTTGGATCAAAAATCTCCAAAGAACATCAAAAACTGTTTCACTAAGAAACTAATGTTATGGAAAATCTAGGCACACGACCGACCCACCCCAGGCATAGTAGGCGTCAACTTTTTCTGACCCAGTGGTGATCAAACTTATATTAAACAAACCTAACTCAATACCACCCACACGTAACCTCCAAGTAAACGAAACAAATAACACACACACACACACACACACACACACACACACACACACACACACACACACACACACACAAATACCCAAACTCAGATCAACATGGGATAAAAGTCAGCGCGTATTCCTTTCACTATTAATAAAACTACTAAGACAAATTTATATAAATTATTAATATAAGTTGGATATAAAAAACTAGCAAGCAAAGCACGCTACTGCTAGCCTGCAACCAACGAAACATGTTTATTGCTGTAGTCGACTCCTGCAACCAACGAAACATGTTTACTGCTGTAGTCGACTCCTGCAACCAACGAAACTTGTTTGCTGTTGTAGTCGACTCCTGCAATCAACGAAACATGTTTACTGTTGTAGTTGACTCCTCCCAGGGGAACATCACTACCCCGCAGACCCGTTGATTCATAACATTTGTTTCCTAACACTGAGTCGACCAATATCATATTGTTACAGTGGTGTCTAGATTAATGTATTAAAGAATGATGATAATTATTGCCTTCAAACCTGATTCCAGATATATATACATGTCACTTTCTATGTCATTGCACCTGGTTTTATTAGGTTTTTTTTCCTGCTGATTCACAGACACCACTGAGAATATTTTAAATTAATTTTCAAATGGATTTTGGATTAAGCATATTTACTGGACAGTTGTTAAATCAATGTAATATACATTGAGAGAGAGAGAGAGAAAGAAAAAGAATATATTTGTATATATATATATATATATATATATATATATATATATATATATATATATATATATATATATATATATATATATATATATATATATATATATATATATATATATATATATATATATGCTTATACCTATTTCTGGATGAAATATTGCATCTATTATAGCAAACAGTTTCTTTATGTTTATTAGTTTTATTTTATCATGCCAGTCTATATAAACGACGAATATGTACTCCATCATCATCTGTTTCCTTGAATAGAAAAATCTAGCTAGACTTTGACTGAACCTAAATCATTGTTTCTTCTTCCTGTTATTCTCCATAAATATAGTTAAACGTCTTTACGAAATAAATTAAATTCAAGTCAGTTACTCTTTCAACCTAAAAAGCATTATTTGTTAATTTATTAAACGTGTCTTCTAACTTTAACCAGTATTTCTCATGGCTTGATTTGTTTTGTTTTTTATTAGAGTTTATTCACACTTTTCTTTAGTTCTCTTCTTGCAAAATAGCTAAACAGAGTTGGCTGCTATTTCCTTCTTTCAGATTTTGTGATTTTCAACAAAACAAAATGTTGTGCCATTCATGATATCACAAACAATATGATGTTGGTGTGTTCTACTGAAATATCGTTGTGATTTCATTATATTTGTAGAATCTTTGCATCGTTTGTTCTTGGTATTTCTCTTTTTTCATAATATACTTAACATTTCAAACTTCAGTTTCAACAGATGACATAATCTGATAACACGCATAACATGTAATTGGCTACATTTATACAAATTTTGGCACGGAAAACCACCACAATTATAAAACTATTAGGGAAGGTTTGTTTAGGACTCTTTTATGGAGACACAAGGCTCTTCTGTTTAATTAAATATTATCCTTTCCATTCTTATCGCACATATTATTTCCTCACTTTCCCAACAATGCATATCATGCGGAGATAATTTATTCTCGTATATTTTAGAGTTCCATCTGTATCTACTGTAATATTGTTAAAAATGTTATTACTCTTTAAGTTTTTTTCTTCCTCCAGTGGTCCGCCTCGTATGCGTACGGAGTGAATTCGCACTACTGCTGAGTCATACTAAAGAGGTATGAAAATGGTACCTGCAGCTGCCTCGCCCAGCGCTCAGTGTTAAAAGTTTAGCGTTAGGACTGGTCGAATTGGTGTGAGGATAATGTGACTGGGAGGGACATGATGTTACATGTATGCATTATGATGCCCCAGTGCTAGAATCACTATAAACTGCCACACTGCAGACATTATGGCGAGATGACTGAAAAGTTGTTAAAACTACGTTAATAATTCGCGCGCGTACACACACACACACACACACACACATTCTTACTTATTTCAATTGGCGACATGACGATAGATCAATGGTGGGATTTATTGATCCATGAATACTAATATATATGCTTCCCGCGACCTCCCGCATCCGAGGCGGACGCTCTAACCACTAGGCCACTTGAACCGTCTCTCATTATAAGTAAAATAATTCCACATTCTTGTCTTCAGAGTTCGATTAAAATCGTTTCACTAGTGTTGCGGTTTAGTCTGAGTGGAAAAGTATTCAATATATTTTTTCTCCAATAAATTTTAAACCACTTCCGTTGGTCTAGTGGTCAGAGAGTCCGCTTCAGATGCGTGAGGTCGCGGGTTCGAACCCCTGCCGAGTCATACCAAAGACTTTAAAGAATGGTACTCACAACTGAACTGCCTCGCTTGGCGCTCAGCATTAAGATGTTAGTGTTAGGACTGGTGTGAGGATAATGTGACTGATGCCACACTCCCATAAATCATTTACCTTTGTGTTTAGAATAAAATGGATTAAAGGAAGAAAAATATGCTCTTATTCCCTGGTGGTGGAGTTGTGTTCTTTACAATATATCGTAGACAAATTGAAATACCATATTGTTTGCATATTTGCACAGAATAAATTCGGATTTAATACTTATTTGAAATATTACTTAAACATAAAAGCGTTGAATTTTTTAAAAAGTAAATTAACAACTGGAATGTTCGCATATAAAATGTGAACATGATAAATGAACAGTATATGACGTCGTTTGTAAATCTGGGGGAATACTCACTGAAATGTTATCCTACATATTTTGCTGTGTAGGAGTTGATGTCTCTGTTGTTATAAAAAAAAAAAATTATTTCGACTACCACTGAGCCCTCCCATTCCCACCCACCCCCATAACATTGACGTTGACCGAACCAGGTATCTCTTATAAGACGACGGATGACCACTGAGCAAGGAAACACGCTTATAAAATGTTGGCTTCCACTGACCCATAGCTTTCAAAAAATGTTATTGACTTTTTCGCCAAGATTTGTTTTGTAGTAGGCCAAGTGTGAAAGAAAACTTTTTTTTTTAGTGTCCCAGGGTTTTTCTTAAAATGTTGGAGTTTGATGAGCCAGAGTTCTTTTCATATAGTTTTCAGGTTGGGGTTCATGAAGCTGGTTGTTCGCATACAAATTTAACGACCACTGAGCCAGGATTTACGCTTTCTACGAATGGCCTATGTTTTTCAATCAAATATTGAGCACCAAATGTCTGGGGAAAAGGTGAGAGATTAGGGCTGAATGTCATGGGCTTTTGGTAGAAATTAGGCTTACTATAAAATTATTAATTCTCAGTTTATTCTTTTTCATATCATTTCCATGTGCTTCATGGCCTTATTCCTATTCAAACGTCTTTATTATTATTATTATTATTATTATTATTATTATTATTATTATTATTATTATTATTATTATTATTATTATTATTGTGACAAATTGGCGGCGTGCAAACCACACCAACCTCTTTCACTACGGTTCGTTGCTAGGGAATGACCTCCACGGTGTAGTTAACCCAGTTTGGATAGATAGAAAGAAGAATGCAGATCACTGAACAAGTATATTGAATAAAATAAACACGACGAGCCACCTTTCAATGAACAAATATAAAATTTAATCAGTTTATCAACATAATTTAAAATGAAAAGAAATCAATGACTTGGTAACAAAAGAAGGAAAATGGTACTAACATGTACTCAAATAAAAAGAGAATACAAATTTCTTTTGAAAATTAAATTACTTTCCACGTTAATATACTATCTTCATTGCCAATGAGATGTGACCTTTGAGTGCAACGATGAGAGACTTCATCACCTATTTTATGCGGACATCAAAACTTCCGTACGTCCCTGCTCTGCCGATCTTTGTCTAGCTGTTTCGTCTTGGACTCTTGTCCGTCGAACTCTGACTTAACAATCGTCTCTGGACTTAGATTTCTGCGTAGAACTTGTTCTGGTCCTGTGATTGTTCAGGGATTTCTCATGTGAATCCAGGAAAGCTGTTTCCTTCAATAAATAAAATGTTTCGCAATAGACAATAGGTCCCATTCCCAAGTATATTTATATTTTTTACATTAATTCGGCTCAGAAACAAAAGACATAAATTCTGCCGCAGTAACTCATTGCTCCCTAACTGTCATGTTTACATAAACGGTCAATGCTTGTCCTGACCTTAATTCGGGTCACGATAGGGGAGGTCAATTAAATTCTACTCAGCCGTATGAACCCGTATGTAACCCCTCCTTGACTTCTCACTCTACCAATCTAGCAGTGTTAAGTTACATATGGCTTAGACCCTCAGATCTAGCTATTCTAAAATATTTTACTCGACCAATTAAATATTACAAACTAGCATATAGATATACACTTAAGAGATCAATTAAATATTACAAACTAGTATATGGATATACATTTCATATTATATCATACTGGACAGAGTTAATCCATAAAACTATGAAACATTACCCATCCTTCCTTCAGCTTAATTCATGAAAATTCCTAATCACTCCTATATATTAAAAATTCAATTACATGCAATCTTGTCAACTAATCTAATGAAATTTTAATTGCATTTAATCTTGCCAATTCTCCAAATGAATTGATAATTAGAAAATCAAAGAATAAAATGCCGTGACTAGCATTTCACTAAAATCCTACAAAAATGAAATCATACATACATACAACATATCAAGAATACATTTGCGAATAGATCAACAAATGAAATAACTTTAAAATCGGGAAACTAAGATTGCGGACTTTTTGCCGTTTCTTTATTCGTTTCCACGAACCTCACGTATAGTCCGTCTCCTAACTGAGACAACTATCTGGCCCCTTACTCTATAATGGAAACGTAATTTTTACGAATTCAGAATGTAGAGTTTGCCTACTCGCTGAGACAAAACTCCCGCTTTACTGCCAAATCACGAGATAACGTCTTACACGCTTATCCCGGAGTCTCGACCACTCTTTTTCCAAGTAAGACTGAAGACTAAAGAATTTTCCTAAATTAAAACCTTTAATTTCTTACAGAGTTACGCCCATAAATCCATATTAACCAATCGGAATAGACTGTATCCTAAACCTGTTCCGTAGAATTTTTGGATTGGCAAGACAACTAAACAACTAATCATGCCGTAATTAACATTACTTTCAATAATCATCTATAGCCATATGCCGCCCTTTAACCCGTCGATTTTGGGAAAGGGTCTTATGTCATTCTCTTGTACCATAGCATCTGACTCGGTCATGTTACGTCGGCTAGAACGATTTCCCTTTTGACGTTCAGAGATGAAATGAAAATAATTATCTAACTATCTCTAGCCCTTTCTACTTTAATTAAGTTGATTTTGATACACTTCCTTTAACCAAAGCTTCTAAGAGTTTTCAAAATTCGACACATCACATAGCCCATCCCTTAAGAGTAAAATCTGGAATTTTGCTCATCGAATTTTGAAGTTACAGTTTAATTTAATGTTTACATGTCCTGAATTGACCCCTTCACCTCAGACTCAAGTAACCGACTCATGCAATCTGCCCCCACATTTGAGTTTCCACGAATGTAACGTAGCTGAACTTGATATTGTTGTAGAAACAATGACCACCTCATTAAACGCCCATTAGTTAATTTAGCCTGTGCAAGATACGCTAAAGGTTGATGATCGGTTGTAGAATAAACTTTCGCCATTACAAAAAATGAAGAAATTTATGAATCCCAAAGACAATCGCTAGGCATTCCTTCTCAGTGACTGAATAATTACGCTCAGCGGTATTAAGTTTCCTACTCGCGTATGCCACAGGAAATAAGTCCCCATCATGTTCTTGCAGTAAAAATGCACCAAGACCCCTGTCAGATGCGTCTGTACGTAACACAAAGTCCTTTGTGACGTCTGGTAGCTTAACAATTGCGTCTGACGTCAGTCTATCTTTCATCTTTTCCTCCAGTAGCTTCATACTAAACTCCTCCAAATCCTTCACATCTGGTTTTTCCGGCAGAATGCCTTCGTAATCGTGAAGTATCTCCTCCAACTCGCCACGTTGGTTTGACGTTAACATTACGTCATGGACGACTTTTTCATAAGTTTCGTTCCCCGTCAACGGACAACTAGGAAGTACTTCCGCCACTCCTCCGTTGTCGTTGGGGTCTTCCGTCATAACTGTAGCAACCACGAACTCAGTAGGTGACTCTCTTTCTCGGTAGCGTTTAAGTAGGTTAACGTGGTACAGCTTCTCTTTATCGCCCACCCTGATGCGATAATTCTGTCCACCCTTCTTCTCCGTTACAACGAACGGTCCTCTCCAAGACACTTGGAGTTTGTTATGTTCTAATGGCAACAACAACAACACCTTGTCGCCTACCTCAAACTTACGTTCTTTCGCCTTCTTGTTGTAGTACTTGGCCTGAGGTCCCCTTGCATCACAGAGATTTTTCTGGGCCAAGTTACAAACTTCCTCCAGTTTATTATGTTGTTCTTACCTCTTCGGATGCTTTCTCATCCGTCCTCAACTGCTTCAATACAACCATGGGTCCTCTCACTGTCCTCCCATAAACTAGCTCGAACGGCGAAAATCCAAGACTTGCTTGGGCTACTTCGCGGTACGCAAAAAGTATCGCGGGAAGGTATCGATCCCAATCCCTAGGTCGATTTTCGCATGACTTTTTTAGAGCTTGTTTCAATATCCCATTGAAACGCTCCACAAGACCATTACAATGTGGGTGATAAGGGGTAGTAGTCAGGTGCCTGATAGAAAGTAACCGGTTTGCCTCCTCCATCACCTGGCTAACAAACTGCGTCCCTTGGTCAGTTAGTATTTCGTCTGGTACACCAATTCTAGGCCAGACCCCTAACAACGCTTCAGCTACCGAAACTGAATCGATGTTCCTTAAAGCAACGGCCTCCTGGTATCGGGTAGCATAATTGACAATCGTTAGCACATAACGATTGCCACTTTCCGCTGCGGTCTTTATCGGACCTATCAAATCCATAGCCACCCGCGAGAAAGGTTCATCAATCAGAGGGGTAGTTCCTAACGGCACTGGGCGATGTGAGGTCTTAGGTGCCACTCGCTGACACTTGTCACACGACAGACAAAACCTCCTTACATCACCATACACACCTGGCCAATAGAAC